AACCCTAGTTTGTTGCCCCAACCGAGCTTCCTTTTGAAAAGGCACTTGCAAAGAATGCGTTTCGATGCGTTCAGTCCACTGAGATGCTGACATTATATTCAGTGCAGCATTCAGCCTGCCAATCAGCCTTTTGCCGCTCGTCGAAAAACGGCCAAGAGATGCAGCTGCGGCCGTTCCACCCGCAGGACTGGCCGCAGCATCCGAAGATCTCCGCTTCGACCTTCTTCACAACGCGATCGGCACATATCTCACTGATGGGTATGGCTTCAATCATGTCCTTCATCATCTCCATCAGTTTCCCCTCGTTCGTGTTCACCAACTCTTCGCACTCGTCTCGGCAGACATGGGCCAAATGCCAAGCAGCTGTTTTCGGTCCTTCTTCAAGCAAGGCGTGCAAGCGCCCGTAGTCACCAGTCGCCTTGCGATTGGAGAGCTGCTCCTCACACGCGGACACCGGGGGGACTGAAAAGTGCTTGGTCGCTGCTTCGCAGAATGCTAGCGCGGCCGTCTCCACCCGGCTCTTCGCCCTCATTGCAAAATAATCCTTCTCCACGCATTCGCACCCCGCGGCGTTGCCCACAGCAGAGAAGACGCTTTGTCCTGGTCTCGAGCACTTCGAGCTCGCAACCCCTGACCCGTTGCAGCGGCAAAGGACTTCTCCGGTCGCTGGGTCGGTCCCAGCAGCTTTGGCACGTCTTCCGTGACAGATGAAGGGATCTCGCGGCACGAGGGCCTGCCTCACAAGGTCAAGGGGCGTGCGGCCTTCACCACAAGTAGCAGAAACAGAAGACTTGCCAACCAACGAAAAGCGCACATGGCGCAGGATGGATCGAAACAAGTTGAGTTGCAACAAACCAATATGGCTCGCGCGGAAACAAAATGGACACACTGAGTCAACAGGATCGGAGGCAAATGCGTCACGGCCACATTGTATCACAAGATATTGAAAATCCTGCGCACTCAGCCCGCCTCAAGGACTTGTGTTTGGGAGGGCTAGCGGCTATCATTGAGCCTTGGCAGAGTCCAGAGCTTCCAGTGGAAGAGCATGTCTTCAAGCGACAAAAAGTGCTGAAAACTTCAGGGACATGCTTGACATGACTGAAGCATCTTCACTGCAGGCCAGGTGGAGCATGTTGGGTCTAGAAAGTATCAGAATTTCAGATCTATAATGTGGCAGCACGAGCCGCAGCAGCAGACAACTCCGAACAAGCTTGGCCAAGGGTCTATGCATGTTCTTCTCAAAGAAGCCCCACCAAGATCCAGCTTGTCCCAACTGCCTTTTTGGGGTAGGCTCTTCTCACTCAGGCTGGGCATTCTTTTCAGGGTTAGAGGAGTCTGGTCAAGCAGCACCCGCATCGCGCCTTTGCGGTCCACGACAGTCCACTGAAGAACCATGACCTCACCGCACACGGCAAGCGCGTTGCGGCTGGGGCAGAACTCCATCGGATGGCCAATTGATCGAAGCTGATGTAGAATCTATATCATATATATATATATTATATATTCAAGACTTATTGCGCAGCGCAAAAGCACATTAAACCTCTTCTTTTCTTCCAAAGCCTTGCGCTTCAACTGTTGCCTTTGCTCAGAATCTCTTGAATCTCCTGCAGTCTGCAGCTCACATCAGTTTGACTCCACTCTTTTTCCGGAAGAAATGCTCTGAGGCTTCAAGAAACAACCTGACTCTTGACCTTCGTGCCCTTAACCCAAACACCGAACACCCCTGCCTTTCCTTTCGCTCAACCCTCAGTCAGCTTGCAAGTTCGCTTTTTGGTACAAGCGAACGGTCTCCTTAAGAGCTGCTGGGCTCTCCTCGCAATACTCCTTAGCCCAGTCCACCGCCGTCTTGCCATCGCCATTGTCCTGGTCCTAGTCATACATCAGAACCATCGCCGTGCGAGTTCAATCGATGTGGAAAACCATGACCTTCCCCCTCGAAAAATGAAAGGCTGCTTTGAATGAAGGTAAAGGCAAACAGCATGGCTCTGAAAAACCCAAAACTGCAGGACTTGCCGCACTTGCCCTGCGATCATCCTTCCCGCAAAAAAATGAGGAGATGAATCTTACATTGCCCGATGATGTCCTTCGGATCAACTGATGCATTGTGCTTGACGAGAAGCTCCACAACTTTTGGCTGGCAATCTGCTGCAGCCTCCGGCAAGGAAGCATATATCACGCTGATAGAACTCCCCAGTTCCACAGCCGGCTGTGGGGGTTCGAAAATGAGCAGACCTCTTCTACCCCGAAGTGCAGAATCTTTTCAGTTTCGCGTAAGCAGGGACCTTCAAGTCAAGGTGTTGGTTACTGGTACATGGCCCCAAGCCCTAAGCGCTGACCCACTTTCAATGTGTTACAGGATGTTACGCATGGGCAGGGGCATGGGCGGATGTTGTCTATGCCAAATTCCAACATAGAAGCAGCCTGCCAACAAGCATCCACAACACAAATCCCCTCTGTCCTCCATCAGAGCAGTGAGGCCGTCCTGATCTCTGGCATTGACGTCTGCCCCCTTCTGCAGCAGCAAGGCGGCCGCAGGGGCGAAGCTTGGCCAATCGATAATCTTGGCGGTCAAGAACCTCACAGAGTGCACTAAGCACAAGGATTGAACCGCAAAGCGGCTTAGGTTTGCTTTGTCGCTTCCAGGGCGGCAGCGCACGAGTTCGTCAGGATGTGTGGTTAGGGTTGCCACATGTTGCCATTCATGGGACAAGGTGGAGAATCGCCAAATTGCGGAATCGGAAAAAAACACCGTCAAATCCACGGACTGACCAGCCTTGCTAAGGTTCACCTGGAGTTCCAACAAAGTGAGCCGTTACGCGTTACGCTCACAAAATGCTTTGGTCGCACAACCGCATGTGCTGTACGTATTTCGTGCCTGTCAGCACGTCCAGCTTTGCTTCACTGTAAGTGTAGTGTTTCACTACGGTGCTGCAGAAACATAACTATATTTGCTGTGTTTTGGCGAATGGAAGCAATCATCCTTTCACCTATGTAAGTGATATCATGTTGTCTAAAAATCATATACGTTCCCAATCAAACTTTCGCGTCCCTTCACCCCGTCCAAAAAGGCACTGGGTTGCTTCTCTCGGGACCACGTTTTCAGTATTCCTGGGAAATCCGGGAAAATGAAAAGCAACTCAAAGGGACTCCTTGTTTATAACAGTGGAGTGTTCCAATAGGCTTGCAAACACCACTCTCCAGAAAGGAAACATGATGATCATACTTGCAAACACACTCGTCACAGCCACCGAACTGAGTTTTGGCTGCTGAAGGCCGAATCACAAACGGCAGGAAGCTGGCCCAAGTCCCTGCAGCAAGGTGTGCCGCCAAGAAACAGGTATACAAGCGCTGCGAATGGCTTCAGCAGCTGCCCAGAACCAGTTGCACCTTCGCTGAAGATGTGAACATACGCTCAAAAATAGAAATCCTTCACACAACAAAAGGCGTTATTAGGTGCATGGATCCAAAGACCACTTTCCAAACCGTAGGCCACAGGCCTTCGATGTTGGGGTCTGCTCCACGAGCAAGCAGAACTGGTAGTGCGTCAAAGCGTTCACTTTCGATCGCCTCTGCAAAGGGCGCATGTTGATGACACCTACGACATCTCGGGCTACGACATGTCGGACATCTCAGTTTCAACAGGCAGAGTTAGAGTCCAACCCTGTGTTATGTCGTCAGAGTTGCCTCCACAAGCGCAGTCTTCTGAGGACACCCTTTGTTTCCCTGGGTTGCTCACAACAACTAGACACACAATCAAATTAGAGGTGCTCCGCTCTACTGCAGGCCAGGGAGTTTCATGATTCGAAGACTGCAAACTGCTTTGGGAATGAACAAAGCATGTAAAGCAACTATAGATATCAGAACAATAACAGTGCCGAATCTGAAAAAAACGAGGGTCTGCCACGGAGAGTGCAGCACGGCCACCATCAACCAGCGCTGTGAGCAAGTTCTTAAGATCTCCCGGCTTGCATGCACCCTTCTCCAGTTTTCCGCTCCCCCGGCCCAGAAGCGACAGCAGGACGGGCGCAGGACACCTCGACTCGGCAAGAGACTTATGGCGCCAGACGCATCATGGCACGCTTGCAAACATTCGTTTGAAGACCAAGAAATCAGGAGTAAATGGATTCAAAAGCAGCTTCCGATGACTCCTACTGTACGAGTATCTTGCTTCCAAACGGAAAAGCTGCCAAAAGAATCTAAGCGCTGCACCTGGACGTCTTCAGCAAGTGATTCACATCGACACGTGGGATCAGCTGCTTCACAGCTGCTATGTTGCAGTGTTGGCCTGCACGAAGCAGGGCCGTGCGGTTGTGGGCGTCCTCCGCGCCAGCATCCACGCCATGGTCGAACAACAGCTGCACCACTTGCGTCTTGCCTCCGGCAGCTGCGTCGCCCAACGGAGTGGATGCACAGCCGCTGCAGTTGGCATCCCACGTGGAATTCCTTACTGGCTCTCTGTTTTGGTTGAGAAATACAAAATGAAACTGGAACCGACCAAAAGGCTGACACTACTTCAGCCATCCAATCAAAACAAAGAGATCTGGATTCAAAAGAAGTGTCAGAAGAAGCTCCTTCATCACTTCCACTCTCCCCAAGCTTGCAGCCCTCTGCACCACTCCGCAGGTTTTCTTGACCTTCTCCCAATTCTTAGTAATTTGATCTCCAAAAGCCCAGGAATTGATGCGATGAACTGCCTCCACGTTATTGGCCTCGATGGCTTCATTGATGCACTGCTCGGGTGATAAGGTCACCGCGACGTCGTAGAACTCGTTCCAGGACGGATAGTGGTCGCAGTAGTCACACGACGTGGTCGACGCGTCCGTTCGAACCGCGCGGAAGCGCTTTTGTCTGGTCAAGAAGCCTGAGCAGTCCTTGCCCAGATTCACCACCTCCACTTGCACATGAAAACGATCATCTGCCACTGATGCGTTTACTCTGTCCAAGTGATTCAGGTCGCACCCTGCATACCTGAGCCAAGCTCCAATGAAGAACACTTTCTGGGATCCTCTATGCAGGGCTTTTCTGTCTTACACCACTACGCTAGAAAAGCCAGCCAAAAGACTTGGATCCTTGAAAAAAGATAAAAGCAAAACGGAGACAACATCATCTCCTCGCCCGATCAACTCTGAAGGTCTCACGAGAGCAGAAGTCCCTAGCCGTCTCCTGCGGTGCGAGATGCTCACTGCGTTTGTTTTCCACCTGAAACTCTGGAAGCAGGAGGCCCATGTCTGTGCTCAGCGTGATCGGCGGTGGATGAGGCACGATCTTCAAAGGTACCGCCTCTTCCTCCGCATCGGTCTCATCCTGAGTGGTCGCCAACACCAGCTGCGTAGCCTTCATGAGCGAGTCATAGGGCATGGAGACGTTGAAGATGTTGCAGATCTCGGACCTTAAAAGGTCGCCAATACAAACAAAACTGGGTATGGCCCGGCAAACACGGCCCTATCCTGCAGTACAAACACAAAACCTGCAAGCCATGGTCATGTGGTAGGCATGAGAAGTGCACTTCGTGCGGCGAACTTCCAACGAAAAATGCGCACTAGTTTGTGCTGGAAGCTTGGTCTTATTCTTCGCAATCAACTGCCAATCTCCAGGCTGTAGGTTGGGGTCTCGCTCCGAGTATGACACGCGCAGCTTGGCAAACTTCCCGCTCACATTCACGTTCTGCAGCCACTCCAATAAACCTGAATCGGTGACAAGGCTCCCCTGACCTTCATGGACGTGGATGTGAGACTTGGCTTTGAAGGAGTAGAGACATATCGAAGTGGAATTGAGCAACTCAACGCGCTGTTCTCTCAAGCAGTTCGTGCCAAATCCGGCCACTTCCACACCACACCGGCATTCCTGATCGTAGAAGGTAAGACCCAGGGGGCCCTCTGAGGATTCCGAGCCCTGCAAGCCCTGCCCTTCACGTGTGAGGGGCGCAAAGCCAATCGTATGCAGCTCGGCGCCCAAGGTCCAATGGCTCTTGGGATCGATGGCGGGAACCTGGGCCACGAAAGCAGAAAAGGAAAAAATCGGCAAAAGTATACCTATATAAGTTAAAATGTATCTTATTACGTACTGAAAGTAAGAAGGTCTCGGTTTTTCCTTCTCAATCCGTGGGGTCTCTCCCGTCTCCTCGAGTCCGTCAACGAGGCACGTACCATTCTGCGTTGCGCTGCTGGAAGAGCCATCGACGCTCTTCACTGAAGGTGGCATTGGTCCCTGCCACCTGCCCACGCAATGAGAGTGAAAGTGCCTCGCCCACACGGATCAGGTGGAAGATGTACCTGACAATCAAACTCGCACCAAGCTCAAGGTCTCAAAAAGCACAAAAAGCATTGAAGGAATTGGAAGGCACCAAAGCGACCATCACACCCAAACAGAGAACATCTAAAGAAACGATTTAAGGCTTGGTGTAGCAACAAGGCAAATCTGGAACGTCGAGGCACTCGGTTGGCGCAATCTGTAGCTTGCTTGCAGCTTTCACTATAATGCGACTATAGAGGGGACCAGCAGGCAAAATGATCTTGTATTCACCAGACAGGGTCTTCGGAGAACCTGCATGTTCGTCTGACATCACCTGGGACACTGAAGAGATGTTCTCCGCATCCTCCTTGCCCAGTTGCGGGTGCTCTAATCGAACGCTGACATTCTCTGTGTGGTCTCCTGCTTCAAAGCCGAATATCAATGTATCAGCATCATCATGAAGCAGCAACGTGTTGTGGAGTGTGCTTGTTTCTGCCAAGTAGATGAGATGCCCTTTGCTGAAGGAGTAGTGAATGAGACTGCCTCAAAGCAGCCAAAGTCAAGACTTTGGCCTGATGTCAAGAGGAACTTGATTGAGTTTGTAAATATCTGGTGGCTTGGCTTAGCGGCTTATCGATGTATGATATTCTTATCTCTGACCAACTTAGCACAAGTGGCAGATCCTAGAAACAATTGCCATCCGTAAATTAGTCCGTAAACAATCAAATCACAACATGTGGATATTTGGAAGGACAAGAGCTCCACAACCCTTCTCACCAAGACACCCTGCATTTGGATCCCATCCAAGCCCATCAGAATCACCACACTCAGCCCAGCGATGCCCATGAGCCATGTCAAGAAGCTCACTGCAAAGTGGTGGCCTTCCTTGGCAAACTCTTGAGGCATCGTGCGCAAACTCTCAAAACCCAAAGTAGTCTGTCAAATTCCTGAGCCATCATGTTTTCAGCCCCTGAAACCAACCGGAACCACATGTTGCTGGCCTGCACTGCTTTCTTGGCACAATTTGGGTTCTTATTATTGGCCACGAGTGTCATATCAGCAAGATGCTAGATAAGAAGATCAGTCGTCTGTCAGCCGATTACACAAGGCCGACGGGCCGACAGGGCCTTCTGCCTGTTTTGCATGTGAAATTGGAGAACTGGGGGATGACGGTATCCGATACCTATCCAGCCTTCGAGCAACGAACGTTCATCGGTCAAGGATCTCTTGCCTCCGTAAAGATCAACGGCTCACCGTCATCGTCCATACTTGGCAATGGCTCAACAGCACACACCGTGAATTCGGTGGTGAGCTGGGGCTCTTTCCACTTGCCTACACCTTCCAAAGAAGTCCTCAAGTCCCAAGCATGTAGTGCAATCATCAAGAGCAGTGCTCCTAGGCCTGAAGAAATCGTGCCACTCCTGGGTGTCTTGACGACAAGCCCGAGCAACGTCGCCAACAGCAGCGTGGTGAGAAGGACCGAAAAGATGCGAGCTCGATGACTTGGCGGAGGGCGCAACCGCTTCTGCTCCTTCTCCAATGCCTGATCATGCCGAAGTGCCCACTTCACGGTGCATTCAGCTTCCCTGAGGGTGTGGATATGTAGGAAGAAGTTAGTTACCGCCACCACCAGAAAGAGGTGCACCTGCATGTGGCCGGCGAGCCTTTCCAGGATGATCAGTTGTGTGGAAGCATGGCTCGCGGCTAGGACTAGCTGCCTTCGAACAAGAGCACCAAGAGGTACCAACAACTGCTGATTTGCACGGTAGGGTGCAAGACCTGTCGTTGTTGAGTCAGTGACTCCCTTCCAATCACTGGCAGAATCGTAGAGCAGGAACCATCCTTTCCCTTCCAATTTGCCCCATACTGACTGAAAGTTTTTCGGAAATATCATGTTCAGCAAATAATTCATGAGGCGCTTCAGGGCACTTCCAGTGACATTCCCCTCGGCACATGCCATCTCGACCACCACAACCTCTTCGCAGGCGTTCAATCGCCCAAGCAAATCGCTTCCTCCCACCTCGCTTAGAACCTAGGAGGGACTTGGAGGACTGAGGGTGGATGGATGGAAAAGAACATGTAAGATCGACCAGTTGAGCAAGTGAGCTAGCGAGCTTTTCTGCCCAAGAAGGACATCTTCTAGTCCACTTCACTCACTGCTTACCATTCCTGCGCATATGCCTATGGGCCTATGTGTGTCTTTGTCATCTGTCAGCCTCGAGGTCATGGTGAGCGACCTTGTATCTTTTGGGGAATGGCTCCCTTAGGAGCTCCTCCACCTCCAGCTCGGGCGTTCTATCTTGGGCCTTGAAAGCCAGTGGGATGAGCTTGAAGAGCGGCAGGATGGCCCTGCCTCACCAACCGCAGAGACTCCACCAACCGCACAAAAAAGACGCTGACTCTGCACCATGTGTCCCCTTGCTGTGTTCGTAACTTGGAAAACATAAAACAAGCCGAGACACAGCTCATGAGGATGGCACAAATGAGCAGAAAGATCTCCATACTGAAGATGAAGCCATGAGGCATGGATCGTTGAGGGTCGAGCACTGGATCCCAGTCGTTCCACAAGTTCATGA